AACTTGAAAGGGTTATGGTGGGGCGAGTGCTGCTCAGCAGTGGCTGTACCACGCAGCCCTCGAGCTGTGGTGACAATCCTGTCTGTGTGCAGTGTCTCCTGAGGCTACAGGCGGGTGTTTGAGGAGTACATGCGGGTCATCAGCCAGCGGTACCCAGACATCCGAATCGAAGGGGAGAACTACCTTCCTCAACCTATCTATAGGTAAGAAATGAGCAGCAGTACTGTCTGTCTGCTTTCCGGTGTTGAACATGCACATTGACACTGAAATAATAATGAAAATGGAAACTGAAGGGGTTTTTCCATTGTGATTGTATGCAGACTCAGTGATTTTCTCCCTTTCAGATAACTGCCCTAGTTTTCCATACAAATAACACCACCTGGATATGTGTATGATGAGGCCTGTGGTATCCAATCTAAAATAAAATACGTAACTGTTTTTTTTTTTTTTTTTTCACAGTGAATCTTCCCAGCTTTTCTTCATGCTGTATTGGGACATAAATTCAATTTGTTGCTCAGGCTTACTCACTTAGTGACAAATCCCTGTAATGGGTTAAGGGCACAGGAGGGAAAAGTTCATTTTTGACATATGAGTCATGGAGAGCTCACCTCAGGGTGAGACTGCCAGGGTGGCCTTAGCTGCAGCTGGGGGGAAGCCCAAAGAAATTAGGAAAAAGACAAAAGGAAAATTGTGTTATTCTTGCTATTTAAAGCACTGTGCCCACGCTTGAGAGTGATGCCATAGTTACTGGGGTGGCTCCTGGAGCGCTTGCTGGCCCAATTTCTGTCAGGGTTGCAGTAATGGAGGCTGCAGGGCACAGTGCCTGTGTGAGCTGGAGTTCTGCCTCTCTGGGAAATGCTCTGTAGCAAATGTATCAATTAAATGTATCTCTGTAACATGGAACAGCATTTTCAGAAACTGAGTCTATTTCCCAGTTCAGACACGTTTAAGTTGAAAGTCAATTCTCACTTGAGGTTTGCTGAGGAACGAGAGAATCCATGTGTGGTATACAAGAAGGTGTCTTTCTGGGGTGCTGTACAAGAGCAGTGCCTTGCTGGGGGTGTTGTTAATGTGTGTTGCTTTTTTGGTTTGTTGGTCTGTTTTTTGGGATGTTTTTTACAGTCTGTTTTTTACAGTGAGATAAACTTGGAAAGTTTTGTACTTCCCCTGAAACATTTGATTGTACACTGTCAAGATGCTTGTAGTGAGGCCAGTTACAGCTGTGTATGGTGAAGTAGAAACTGAACCTTTCAGTCACTGGTGTGTGTTGTCTCCAACAGGCACATAGCATCCTTCCTGTCTGTCTTCAAACTAGTATTAATTGGCTTAATCATCGTTGGCAAGGATCCATTTGCTTTCTTTGGCATGCAAGCTCCGAGCATCTGGCAGTGGGGCCAAGAAAACAAGGTAAGGGACATAATGCTTTTACTTCAGAGCGACTTCATGGGTGCTCTGGGAGTCCCTCATGGTTCTGACTGATTTATCTTTCATACGCTGCAGCCTTGCAGTAGCATAATTCTTACTCAGTGCTTTAGGCTTTGGACAGACCCAGGTGTGATTCTGTCATCTCTTTCCAAGCTGCTACTGCTGCAGAAGGACAGCTGAGGTAAACATTGCTGACAAAGATGATAGAAGAGTTTATTATTTTTTAGGGCTCAAAAGTAGTATTTCAGGCCAGTACTGCTGGTGTTAAAATTGCAGCTTCCCTTCTCTGCTGTCTCATAACTGTTTTGCAGTTGATGTTTCCATCAGACTTCTAATAGATTAGGCAGCAATTAAATGGTGTTTAGAAAAATGAAGTTGAAATATTGTGGGTGTTTTGCAGAGCAGACTCTGGCATAACATTGTGGGAGAATATCCCTGTGAGTCAGTACTGATGATGCCAGGAGATTCAGGGTGTCGTACTCTTATTCCAGATTTACTCCACTAAACTAAAGCAATTTACAGACCCTCGGACTGAGCTGCCCCGTGCCCTGGGTCTCTCACTGGCCAGTGTGAATGCCCAGAAGCTGTGATAGTTCCATCCAACGCCATGCCCAGCCAGGCTGGCTGCTGTGCACTGCCACTGTCCCTGTGCCAGGTTCTGTGGTGTTGGAGTGTGTACCTCACCTTGGTTTGAACCAGGGCTGTGGGTTTGGGGCGGTTCAGAGCTGGTTCAGTGCTTGTCTGGGGAAGGCAAGGTGCATGGTATGTGTAAAAGGATGGAAGGGAGGTGTCTGTGAAGGGGAACACTCCTTGAGCAGTTCCTCCCCACAGGGAGTTCAGAGACGCCTGTGAATGTCCAGTGCTCACTGAGGATGAACAGCAGGCGCGTGTGGTTGATGTGGCTGAGCTGTGTGTGGGTCTCTGTTCCCTTCCAGGTGTACGCCTGCATGATGGTCTTCTTCCTGAGCAACATGATTGAGAACCAGTGCATGTCCACCGGGGCTTTTGAAATCACTTTGAATGGTGAGCTGAGGCTTTGTTTCATGGGATGTCTTGTTGCACATGTACACACATGAAAGCTGTGGAGCAAGGAGAATGAGAGATGGTGGGAGGAAATGTGGTATGTGGAAATTGCCAGCTGTTTGGATCTTCAGATGTTATCTGTCACAATAAATGATGAAAATCGTAGAAGTCTTGTATAGCAGTTAATACAGATGTCAGAATAGCTCTGTAAAATCTTAAAGGGACACTCGGTCCTTTGGAGTAACTGTTTTGTTCCTTCTTTGTGTGTGATGTGCATTAAGTCAGAAATGATCAGCTAGGGATGCGAACTCTCCAATTATATCCCTTCCCTGTCCTGTAGTGTGCTTCAGCCTGGGAATCGTAAGGAATCTATTGCTATTCCCAGATTTTCAGTACCAGTGGACAGCAGTACTGATTTTTCAGGTTGAAAGGAACGTCAGTGGATATTTTGTACCTCTCCATCCATAGGATGCACTTCTAAACAGAAGCATTAGACACTCTGCTCTCGGGGTTGGGCTGGGGCTCAGCATAGCCAGAGGTTGGAAGCATTGTTGATCCAGATGTTGATCCAGATCCTCCATATAAATCAGTACCAACTCACACAGCTTCCTAGAGCTCCTCAGTTCCATGTGGACACCAGCCCTGTGTTTCATGGCACTCCCAGTGTTAATGGTGCTTTTCTCCCTTCATGTGTTCTGTGCTAGATGTCCCAGTGTGGTCTAAGCTGGAGTCTGGTCACCTTCCTTCCATGCAGCAGCTTGTACAGATCCTTGATAATGAGATGAAGCTCAATGTGCACATGGAGTCAATGCCCCATCATCGATCATAGCCCCATCGAACAGCACTGAAACGCCTCGTAAGTCTCTTCCCGTCACCAGTGCATGTGCCCGGGTGTGACAGGTGCATTGGAGACGTTTGCTCAGTTCAGTGTTTTCCTGGAGAAGCAGCCTCTGTGACATTAAATTGCTGTGTGTGGCGTCATAGGGGCTGTTTGGGTGGGAGGTTTTGGGTTGAGGCTCGTTCTGCCTGTCTCAGAATGGGAAGCTGGTGTTCCATGAGGCAGGAGAAGGTGTGTTACTGTGTGCAGGAGGCCTGATGACAGAGTGGTGCAGAGTGTCTCTGTGTGGTGCAGAGACAGAAACACGCTGCATGATGTGCCTTAGAACAGCCTTTGTGTAGGAGATTTACGTTTCCTTGGCTTGTAACCCAGTTGAATTGCACAGCCTTGAAGAGCAAGACACTGTCCTGCCCTGTCCCTCTGCAAATGCTCCAGAGCTGTTGGCAGCAGTGGTATTTTATGGCAAAAGTATTCCATGTTCCCATGTCACGTGGGGCTTTCAAAACACGTAGCTTATGATTCCCCTTCGTGGGGCTGCTCAGTGCAGGTGTGCCCAGGTGTGCTGGCTCGGTGCAGCTGTGCCCCAGCCGTGCCCAGGTGTGCTGGCTCGGCGCAGCTGTGCCCCAGCCGTGCCCAGGTGTGCTGGCTCAGCGCAGCTGTGCCCCAGCCGTGCCCAGGTGTGCTGGCTCGGCGCAGCTGTGCCCCAGCCGTGCCCAGGTGTGCTGGCTCAGCACAGCTGTGCCCCAGCCATGCCCAGGTGTGCCGGCACAGGGGTGTTGCTGGTGGTAACGCGGTGTCTCCCCGCAGGCATTGGGTGGTGGTTCCCGGGCCGCGTGGTGCAGACCCATGAAGGCCTGTGCTGAAGACAGACGCTGTTGGCGCAGGCTGGATGCCCCTCTCGCAGCCACGTTGAGCCTGCTGGACAAACACTCAATGGGCCCCGTTTCGGTGCTGGCCAGTCCCACACTGCACAGCCACCAGTGCAATAATACTGTATAGTTTTTTTAAGACTTCATTCGACCAGTTCATAGCTCAGCAATGCAGGCATTACTAATGGTAACTTATTTTATATTCATGTTTCACACAATGGCAGATTGAGTTGATACCTAATTTTCCTTGGAAAAAGAAAAGTTTGTTTAATCTGTTGTATTTTATATGAATTTATGTTCTTTTTGTAGTTTAAAATGAAGTTACAGGAGTGTCTGATACTGTCCTAAACTGTTGAGTAATTGACAGCTGTCTATGAATTCTCTCTAATGTGGTTAAAACAGGTTTGTATATTTTTCAAAATCTATGACAGAGTAGAACAGTGCATTATATATTGAATTATATAAGCAAAATTACATGCAGAGTAGTTACATCATTTGGTGACTTCAGTGAAAAGTAAGATCAGCTGCTCTTTAATCATGTGGGCCAGCTCCAGAGGTTCTTCCTTGGCCGGAAAGATGAGCTGGGCCTTCCTGCTGTCCTGAATAGAACCCAAGAACATTAATTGAAATAAAAGAGTTCCCATTTCCTGTGTGAAGTACCTTGTTTGTCACTGATGGACATTCTTGGAATTGCAATTGAAAAACCGCATAAAATGCCAACTTTCCAAAGTCACTGAGCTTGTACCTGTCATGTGTAAGCCCCCCTCCCCCTGAGAACCTCAGTGTGCTGGAGGGGCACATGGGGCTTGGCTTTGTTCTTTGGGCAGTGCCACAGCTCAGGTGTGGCCACCCTGGGGGAAGCTGGCCAGGTGAACCCCAGGTCTCAGGCAGCTCTGAGGGGCTGGGAGGTTTCCCCACTGCCAGCTGCAGCCCCTGTGGCCCAGGGGCCTCTAAATACCTGCTGAGGGCTTGGTGTTTGCGGTGCTTTAACCAGACCTTGTCTCAGGCTGCAGGTGGTGCTCCTTGGGGCCGAGCGCAGGTGCCTTGGGTACTTGGCGGGCATTTGTCTCTCTCTGCACAGGGAACCACTTTGTCCTGTACCAGCAGCTGAGCTGCCACCAGCACTAGTGCCAGGGACACCTGGGCATCCTGCTGGTGCCACCTCATCAGGAGCAGCAGAGTGGTGCCTGTGTGGTGACCTGAGCAAAGGCCCCTCGTGCCTCCACTTCCAAGGTGAGCTCAGTGTGGGCTGGCACTGCCTGTCCTGAGTGAGACCACCAAGGGACCGTGGGGATCAGCCGTGGGCTGCCCTTTGCTCCACACCAGGGCAGGGCCGAGGTGAGCCCTTGCTGAGTGTGTACAGGCACCGTGGCTGGGGAGCCTCTGTGCTTCACACCACACGCGTGCTGCTCAGAGCTGCTGTGCGTTTACTATCGCCCGGATGGAGCTGCGCAGCTCCTCGCTGATGTCGGCGGCAGCGCAGAGCTCCAGGATCTTCGCAGCCTGGGTCAGCACGTATGCAGGAGGCTGCATTTTGTTCCACTGCTCACTGGAAGGAAAGCTGATGCATCCCCGCATCCTGTCGAAGAGCTGCAGGATCCTCACCCGGAAGGCAAGCAGCAGGAGCTCATCCCTGCCCAGCCGGGCCGGGGCAGGCGGCCAGCCGGCAGCACCGACCTGTGGAGTGGAGGGAACATGTCAGTAAGAGCCACTGCAGCCTGGGCCCCCTCCCAGTCCCTGTGACAGGAGCTTCTGGAGGAAGGGAGTTGCCATGGACCCTGCCCACATGGACCACAGCTCTTCTCCCTGTGGCAGAGCCAGGGTGACTCCTTGCAGAGAGCTGTGGCTGGCAGGTGCCCTGTCTGCATGGGACTGGCAGGGGTACAACTCCACTGCTTGTTTTTTGAGGGGCAGGAGCATGGGGCGACATGGGAATTAGCATGCTTCCCTATGGAGAAGAGCTTCCCTGGCTGCCCCACTCCCCATGTGGGGAGCAGCTCTGCATGGGGAGATACCTGCACTTTGGTTCCCATGTTGAATTTTGCCTGTCGCCCCATGGCGAGGAAGGAGACGATGATCTTGTCCTGGGCCAGAATCCTGACCCCCACGTGCCGGTTCAGGGAGATGAAGATGGGGCTCAGTGGGACATGGGGTCCTGGTGACATCTTTGGCCACATCCACCTTTTCACCCTGCTGCCTGCTTGGTCCAAATACTGCCCTCCCTGGATACTCATGTTTATCCTAAAAGAGAGGGAAGTGGAAGTCTGTTGATTTTTGGATGCTATTAAAAATATCCTTCGTGGCCTTTGCAAAGCCAGTGGAGAGCACAGCTGCTGAACGCACCACTCGTCTCCGTTGGGGTAATAGCACGTGCTCCTGCCGTCGGACTGGAACAGGGCGCGGATTTTGGCGGTCCTCGGCTCATCTTCCTGTACTGTGCAGATCATCTGGTCTCCCTCTCGTGTAACCATGATGGCCAGGTTTCCAGATGGATAGCTTCTGCCAGGTAAGGTGTTGGTAACCTCCTACTTTGCTGGTTGGTCTGTTATTACACACTAAATACTCCAGGGCACTACGTGGGAGTAGAAAATCTGATGTGTTAAAGGTGTGCTGCCAGTGTCACCTGAGACACTGCCAATGTTTTGCTTTGGTGGCAGAGCTCAGGTACGCTTCCATGCCTCCCTGGGTCAGAAAGAAGTCAGCCACAGCAACGAAAAACAACGTGGGTGACTTAAAATGTAGGGTCCTTTGGTGGAAGTGCCCTGTTTTCTTGCTTCAGACAGTAGTGACTCACAGTGGTAGTCCCAGGCTGTCTGTGCTCCTCTGAGGCACTGCCTGCAGGATGAACCTATCTGCCATGTGCTGGTGGGACTCTGCTGGTTTGTCCCTAGGGTCAGGATAGCGCTGAGTGCTTTGGGAGCCCCCGGGGTCAGCAGGGCCCTTCCATGGGTGGCCAGAGCTTGGGAGTGGGGTCTGACTGCTAGGCTGGGTGCTGGATGCAAGTGCCCGACCCTCATCAGAGCTGCTGCCTGCTCTGGGAAACCTCAGCCCAGGAGCTGTGTCAGGTGTCACTGCTGCTGCTCCTCAGAGCGAGTGGGAGTGGTGAGCTGGGTTGTTCATGATAAAGTGAACTGGCACACATTTAAAATTAGTTACACCCCTGGACTAATGAGGGCAAGTGAACCCTGAAAGGATACAATAACTGTGAGGTTCCATCCGGGAGCATGGTAAGGAATTTCCTTCCATTTTTGTAGTACTTTTGCACTAATTTACTCTTCCTCCCCTAAGATAAGAAGGATAAGATGGACGAGAGCAGTCTGGCACAGCTGCCTGTGAAACTGGGCAGTGCCAGGCTCTGGCTGCTCAGAGCATGGACACATTCAAGGTGCACCCGTCGCTGTCGGCCGCAGGTACCTGCCTTCCTCCCCAGGGGCCTGAAACCAGAGCTGGTGACACGGCAGGACACAGGCTGCTCCTTAAGCTCAGGCTGCTCCTCCTCGAGCTTGAGCTTGAGCTCCTCTCCAAGCTCGAGCTCAGGCTGCTCCTCGAGCTCGGGCTGCTCCTCGAGCTCAGGTTTGGGCCGCTTCTCGAGCTCATGTTTGGGCCGCTCCTCGAGCTCAGGTTTGGGCTGCTCCTCAAGCTCGGGCTTGGGCTCCTTCTGGGGCTCAAGCTTGGGCTTAAGCTCAGGCTTGGGCTCCTTCTCGAGCTTGAGCTCAGGCTTGCGCTCCTTCTTGGGCTTGGGCCCGAGCTTGGTCCCAGGCTCCTCTTTGGGCTTGGTCTCCTTCTCGGGCTCAGACTCAGACTTGGGCCCAAGATTGGGCCCAGGCCTGGGCTCCTCCTTGAGTTCAGGCTTGGGCTCCTCCTCGAGTTCAGGCTTGGGCTCCTCCTCAGGCTCCCTGGGCTCAGACTCCTCTTTGGGCTTGTGCTCTTCCTCAGGCTCCTCCTTGTGCTTGGGCTCGGGCTCAGGCTCAGGCTTGGGCTCCTCCTCTGTCTTGGCTACGCTTCCATCAGGCATCAGCATCCTGCTCTTGGGCGATGTGCTTCCATCTTGGTGTGAACCTGGAGAGCACAGGGAGGGCTTGTGTGTAGCAGAGAGGGCTGGCGGTGCCCACCACAGGCTGCCCAGCACCTCTGCTGATGTGGGAATCCCTGGCTGAAATGCTTCATCGTGGGAGTCTGTCTCAAGGTATTTTCTAACAAGGGCAGCCCAAAGGGCTCAGCTATTTCAGAACAGGAGAGAACAGGCTTATGATAAAAGATGTTGTTTTTTCACTTATGCGCATACACGTCTGTGTAAAGAGCGACTTTTTGGGATAGCCTTTGGTTCCATGTGCTGGAACTGACAATCTGATATCCCTGGTAGTGCAGAAGCCTCAGTGCCCTGCCATCCTCTGTGAAAACATGCCCATTTACAAATCTGGTTGACCTGTTCTTAGTCAAACCCTGGTTTTAGAGCTAGACCCAAAGGCTGCCCAGTCACCCCCAGCCTGGGCTAGGAAGTGTGGGTAAAAGGGGATCACCCTCCTTCTGGCAGTTCCTCCCAAAGGCTTGGCTTTGCCAACTTGTCCTTCTCTCAGGTTAGATTCTGTGCACCTCAGCTGGAAATTTCACATATAAATACTGAAAGTCATGGCAAGGAGACCCTGTCTGTGCAAGGGGGACATGCATGCTTTTGTGTTCTCCTGGGAGGGATGATTTCATTCGGCTGGATCTGTATCTAATTTAATGGGATTGCACACCTGACAATGAACAAACACATTGCTCTATAAAATCCTCCTGTTCAGTTAGAGACCAGCAATTCCACTGAATACATTGTTGTGATAAATGGACAAATAAATCCATAAGGAAATGCTAACTCACCTTCAGTGGCAGTTGGCTCTAAAGACAGGACAGGCGACTCTCTAGACAGGTGTCTCTCCTCCTGCCTGGAAAACAGAAGTGTTCCTGACAGACATTTCATGTGTCCTGTTTGGAAGGCTGGAAGTACTGGATATCCCTGCTTTAGGAACACAAGTTTCTAAACCTGTTTTTCTCTCCACTCACACAATTGCAAGTAATAGTTAGAGGCAGCAGAGTATCACCAAAATACTCATATCTCAGCAGAAAAGAATTGCTCCCACAGAGATTCCAGTGAACAGACTGCCATTGCAGTGGCTGGCAGGAGAGCTGAACATTGTAACCATGTTTGGATCAAGATTTTATGTGAAAGAGGAAAGCTGTCCACAGGATCAAGAAAACAGCTCATCTCCAGGAATATTTTCCCTATTCTTGTGTAGCTTCCTATAAATCTGTGACAGTGGTTTGGTGTGTGCTCTGTACATAGTAGGAGGCACTTGCACTCTCAGACTGGGAAGGATCTCCAAGGAAACCAACCGTTTACTCCCAGGTGTGCTGGTTGACTTTTCCTTGAGCCTGTACTGGAGCCTTAGGCACTTGCACAAGCTTTGGGCCAAGAACTTCCAGAGTTCTTGTGACTCTAGAAATTGGAATCCAAACATATGCCACAGTTTATGGAGCAAAACAGAAATACAAACTCCAGCTTTGTTTCAGTGCCTGAGGTAAAAGCTACACCCAAATACTGTCCCTTCCCAGAACTGTGTTTGTGTTCTTGTCTCTATCTGTCTGTAGGTATTTCATCTGTCAGCACTGGAATTAGCACTTCACCCAACACATACCTTGTCACCTCCTTGTGCAGTCTGGCTTCAGAGGATCTAGGGGGGACTGGAGAGAATGCGAACTCGTGGTACCTGAAACAAAGGTTTTTCTTCTTTCATTCCCTCTCCCTGCAGTTTCTTAACGCTCCTTTTCTCTTGGAGTTGCCTGTTGTTCCTTATACCTGATCCCCAGTTCTCCCAGTACCTCTGGTTCTCTTGCTCCTTTGACTGCAGCTGATAGGCTTCAGAGCTCTGGTATTCATGGGTGCTGACAGCTCTGGGAGCGCTGCAGCCATCCTTGAGCCTCTTCCTCTCCTCCATGATGAACTCGTAGAGGTCTCGGTAGCTCTTGCAGCAGAATCTCTGCAAGGTGGGAAAATGGAGCCTTGAGTGCAGCCGTTCCACCACAAACCCCTGCTCGTCCTTCCCCAGCTTACATATTCCATGTCCTCGGAGAAAGGGACATCCTCGGGGAAAGGGAACGGCCTCAGCAGGCTGCCACAGTACTCACACCTCGGCTCAGTGTCCTCCTCTGCCTGCAGTGACACGGAAGAGGGGAGGAGAGGCAGGGGGTACCAGCCCCCAAATCCCCCTGTTAGTGTGAGGAAAGAGGGCTGTGCTCAAAATGCAACATGACAAGGCCCCCAAGGGTGGTTACAACTGACCTGTGTCTGGGATATCTTGGAATGATTTAACTCAAAATATTGAGTTCAGGAAACCACCAAAAAGAAAAGCAGATCTGTGGTAAATAAATAAGTAAATGCCCTCAAAGCAAATTACTCTGGTACTTATTAGCCTTACTCCTTCCCAGGAAAGCTGAGAGCACAGAATGCTGTAGCTGAGGATTCAGGTGTGGTAACCCTTTCAAACGCATCGTGTGGGTTTTGGAGAGAAAAAGCTGCTGATGGCTGCAGTCGTGGGGAAGTTTCTGAGGAACCAGTGACACAGGGCTGGTCACATCTGACCAGATACAAACCAGGGTGGCTGCAGGGTGTATTTTGAGGATGGATACTGGATATCCTGAGAGTTCCCTTGCTCCCAGTCTCTTACCTCTGATTAACTCTTTAGTGACTCTACTCCGCTAAGGGTTACGGAGAACTCTGTACCCTGCTTGTATTCTGTGACTGTACCTATTTATCTGTATTTTGTATCTGGTTTAGCCAAAGGCAAAAAAACCCGCTGGGAAATTCTGAGCAGAGGACGCGGCGGTGGAAAGAGGCTGTGCAGCCTCTTGGTGCTCAGGTGTGCACAACCAGCCCGTTCCAACAGCCTCGCACAAGAAAAACCCTGTCACGAAGGGGCTGCTGCGCCCGCTCTGCAAAGGGCGTTGGTTCCACGGTGGGAATGAGACAGAGGGGAGTGCCCGGCCCGGCCCGACCTCGAGGTGCGCGGGTGCCCGCGAGGACTCGCGTCTGTAGGCCAGGAGAGCGGGCAGGCCCGCGGGGGGCAGAGCCGCAGCCGCATCCTCTTCGGGGAGCCGGGGCGGGGGGAACCCGCCCGGTCCATCGCCCGGTCCATCGCCCGGCCCATCGCTCGGCCCCGCCATGCCCGGCCCGCGGCGGTGCCGTCTCCAGGGTGACGCGTCGGGCGCGGGGGCCGCCGGGACCGGGCGCGGCGGCGGCTCCGCCCCAGGGCCGGCCCCTGGCCCGGGGTACCCTGCGGCGCTGCCGCTCCGTTCGGGGCGCTGTGCCGGCCGGGCCTCGGCGCTGCGGCGGCCCGCGGTGCCGCGGGGTCCCCTGGTGCCGGTGCTAGTCTTGCCCTGGAGCCGCAGCCGCTGGCAGGAGCCGGGAGCTGAGCTGGCCGCACCCGGAGCACCTGCCCGAGCGGATTCCAGACACCTGTGCCACACGCTTGTCACACACCTGTTGCTGATGTCTCCCGTAGGACTGGGCGCTTTCGAACCCCTCCAAGGAATCTGCACGTACAACTCGAAGAACGAAAGAGAAAAACGTCTTGTGCAAACCTAGGCAGGTTTGGATTCCCCTCTGGACAGCAGGTGTGTGCTACCCTACCTGTGCTGTGTGTAAGAACTCGCAGTGTCTTACCAGCACGTGCGTCCCCCACAACACAGTAAGTCAGCCTCACTCCTTGTTCGGAAGGAGTATGTTGGGGTGTAGCCAGTGGTATCAGCGGCTCAGTTGGTGGCAGTGCTAGGAGCTCCCTGTAGCACTGGGAGATCACTTCCCTGGCACCCTGGGGGTGGCACAGCCCTCGGATCTGGCTGCAGCACGGTGGAAAGGAGCACCTGTCCTGACAGCACAGGGCCACTGAGACACAGCCATGGGCAGGGCCCCCTCGGGTTGTGCTGTACCCTTGCTGTAAACTCATCAGTCCCAAATGAAACCTGCATTTTGTCTTTGAAGTGGAAATAAGTTTTTAGGGAGAACTGTAGCAACAGAAAAGCTGTTTCCCAGGCAAAGCTCCTGCTCCCTGATTATTGCCTTCCATAGCTGACACTCCTGATGGACTGGAGAGCGGCCGAGGGGCTGCCAGGCACCATACCCTGGCCAAGGGGGTCTGTCCCAGCACAGAGGTCTGCCCCAGCATGGGGGTCTGCCTGCTGCAGCCCCCTTCCCTGCTGCCAGCTCTCTGGACATGCTTCACCATCCCTTTCAGGGTCAGGAGCTTTACTGTGGTCAGTTCTGTTCAGAGAACCAGGATGGCCTAAGTAACTTTTTCTGAATGTCTGAGGAACTGTCACACATTTACTAGTGGTGCCCTGCAGATCCCTCCTGCCTCTGGCTCTTGAACATCACCCTTGGGAAGTCGGATCAGTTGCCTCAGGAAGAAAACCTGAAACCTGATGGAGTGCTGGAATGAATGTCACCTGTCCACACAGTGACCTGAAGAGGAAACGGGACACTTCTTGGCAGTGCCAGCTGAGGTATTCCTTGTGCGAAACTCAGTTTCAGTCAGAAAAGATGTTGGGTGTTGGCTTGGGTTTTTTTGAGGTGAGATCTAACCAAAAACGGCCATTCCTTCAGAACTCTGGGGTGTGGACTGACCTTATGATAATGTGTGGTAACCTATCTAATGTGGGTTATAGGCAACACTGGAGTAATTAATTTCATTACTCCTGCTATAATCAGAGGCACACTTACAAGTTTTACTTTACACGAGAAACTTCTTATGTCCCAGTTGTCAGTAAGAAAATTATCTTCCATTGTAAATGTTGCTGAACTATGGGAAAATGAATCAAATCCTTAGGAATTCTTGCTTAAGTTCTGCTGAAAGCACAGGTGTTAACACCTGTTGGAGCCACGGCTTTACTTCGATCACACTTAAGGAGAAGACAGTTAGTTCACTGGGCTGATGCTGCTGGAGTTCTGCCAGCACAGTGTAAGTGAGAACAGATGTAGGATCTTTAATCATTGATATGCAGTGCCTAGAGAGTAATTCCTCAGGAGGTTTTTTCCCCATGGTCATTCCTAAATTCTTAGGGCCAGACTGAGCTTCCCTTTGCTGAGGCCAAACTTGTTCTTGTGCACTTTTCGGGGTGCTGGTGATGGCTGTGAAGAGCTCGGGCTTAACTCCAGAGAGCTCTTCCCTGGGGTAAAGCTCCCATTACCCCTCTGGATTGTGTTTATTCACACCAAACCTCACCTGTCACTTTACCTGCAGTTTCCCACTGTTGTGAGGCCTCCCACTGCCAGTAACTCAGTGGGCTGTGCCTCCTGCAAACAGCACATGCCTGAGATCTGGCACAGCTGTATGCAGAGCTGGTATTTGTCGCCAGTGTCCAGTGGCAGAGGGGAGCTGGAGGCAGTCAGCTGTGGTGGCACCCTGTGATTCAGCTGCAGAGGTCAGGCTGTCACCGCTGTCTCTGGCACTCCTGCCTCCACCCTGCTGCTCTGCTCGTGCCGCAGAGGGGCCGTGTCTGGCAGCAGGAGGTAGTGAGGACAAGGACCCCAGCAGGGTGAGCCAGCCCGTGCCAGGGGATCCCTGCTGATCCAGCACGGCTGAGGACACAGAGGCACCATGGAGAGGCTGCCACGCACATGTTTGTTAGCACAGCTAACAGTGTCGGTTTTGCAAAATATTTATTGCAAAATAAAAGTAAATATGGCAACAAAACTTAAATAGCAAATGACATGACACTGGCCATAAAGCTCTTGCCATATTATGAGTCTTTTACAATAATCGATGGTCAAGTGTGTCTCCCAGGGCAGCTGCACAGGGACAGCCCAACTCTGTGTCACTGGCTCCAGCTGTCTGAGATCTGTGAGACTCCTGCTCGCACCCATACCTGGCCAGATCCCCCTCCACCAGACAGGAGTCACACAGGAGAACCTTCCATGCTCCCTGAAACCTGCTGGGCTGTACCCCCTCCTCCTCTTTTTCATTTTAAAGCCACTGCAGCTGACACACTGCCCACCCCCTTCCATAAGGTAGCAGGGAATGGAGAAACATTGCTGAAGTACCTACTGCTGCTGCTTTGAGTCACAGCTGCTTCTGTGAGAGGTTGCTTGGATTTCTTTCCCTTCCTACCAACTAGGAAAAGACAGGCAGCCTTGGAGAAGAGATTGTCAGAGCAGCCAGGGATCAGGTAAGGAAAGCTAAAGCCTGATAGAATTAAATCTGGCCAGGGACATCAAGGCAAAAAGCAAAGCCTCTACAGGTACCTCAGTGATAAAAGGAAAAGCAGGGAAAATGCGGGCCCTCTCCAGAAGGAAATGAGAGACCTGGTTCCCCAGGACGAGGAGAAGCCTGGGTATGCGGTGATGTTTGTCTCAACCTTCATGGCAAGTGCTCCAGCCATAGCACCCGAGCTGCAGGAGGCAAAGGCAGGGAGTGGGAGAAGGAATAATGGCCCACCGTGGAAGAGGATCAGGGTGGAGAAGGTCTAAGGGACCTGAAGGGCACAAGTCCATGGGACCTAACGAGATGCACCCATGGGTCCAGAGGGAACCAGCAGAGAAAGTGGCTTGGCCACTATCCATCATATTTGAGAAGCCATGGCAGTCCAGTGGAGTTCTCATGGGGTGCAAAAGGGGAAACATAACCCCCCTTTTCTAAAAAGGGGAATAAGGAAGACCCAGGGAATTACAGGCTGTTAAGTCTCACCTCAGTGCCCAGCAAGAGCATGGAGCAGATCCTCCTGGAAACTATGCTAAGGCACATGGAAAATGAGGTGATGGGTGACAGCCAACATGGCTTTACTAAGGGCAAATCATGAGAACTTAGAGCCCCTTCCAGTACCTGGAGGTGCTACAAGAGAGCTGGAGAGGGACTTTGGACAAGGCAGAATGGCTACCCGCTGCCAGAGGGAAGGGTTATATGGGATGCTGGGAAGAAATTCTTCCCTGGGAGGGTGGGCAGGCCCTGGCACAGGTTGCCCAGAGAAGCTGTGGCTGCCCCTGGATCCCTGGAAGTGTCCAAGGCCAGGCTGGACGGGGCTTGGAGCAACCTGGGATAGTGGATGGTGTCCCTGCCCATGGCAGGGGGATTGGAATAGATGATCCAACCCAAACCCTTCTGTGATACTAAAGCCTGTTATTAAAGCTCACCAGTGAGAGAGCGAATCGGTACTGTTGCTTCAAGGGCTTTTAGGTGTGCTCCAAACAGGAGCTTCTTAAGCCACATATCTAATGGAAGCACTCTTTACATAAAATACAATTAAATTATAAAAGGTAAGTGTGTGTGTGTAATCTTCCTAAGGCACCCAGGAATTTTAAAAGACCTTGTCCCACTCATGTTACTCACAGGACACTCTTGTTCCTCTTCTCCCCAAAGTTACAACTGCTGGCTAGTTAGGAACCTTAGCATATAGGATGACATAGTTGAACAGCATAAAAAACAGGAACCAAAAGCAAACCCTGGTGAAGCACTACGTCCAGACAGCTGGGGTCTCGCTAGCGACACGTCACGGACAGCACATGGAAATCGTCACGTTAATGCCGAGGTTTCCGTTGTCAGCAAAAAGGTGCGCGGTGGCCGTATCAAAAACGAGGCAGTTGCTGTTGCGGATGGCCACGGACACGCCGTCGTGGATGGAGCAGGGGGAGGCCTCCCAGGTCAGCCGGTGGCAGTTGCCGTGCAGTTCCAGCCTGTACTGAAAGTTCTCCGCCTGCTTTCGGGTGCCGATGAGCAGCACGGTGGCAAAAAACTGCTGGTGACCTTCACACTTCTCCTGTTTCTTCAGCACCAGCATGAAGTGGTGACTGAAGCACGACTGCATCATCACCCAGTCCACTGCCCCTGGCAGGTTAATGTCTGTGGCGAGGAAAATGATGTCTTCTCCCTGAAGGGTGGTAATGCTTTTGTGGGCGTGCATGAGGTGGGACATCACGGCTTCCAGGGATCCCTCCCAGTCACAGGAGGTGCCGGGACACGGGCAGGAGTAGGGACGGTACTCACAGACGGCTTCATGTTTTGGCTTTTCCGTGTGGTGGAGTGTCAGGGAGCAGCCTGTTGTGGAGTACTGGAAAAAGAGCAGATACAAGCCCTCAGGAAAGGCACCGGTGT